TCTAAATGAGGAACAATAGTACTAAATTATAGTAATATGCATAGGAAATCAATGAAATCCACTACTTATTAAATAAAGATTTATTCTAAGTTTGAAAAATGATTCATTTAAACAATCAATTAAAACTCCGATTAAACATCATCACTGATGCAATGCATAAATATTTTGAATTCTAAAATCCTTATCATTTCAACCTCTTTGCTTATTATTTATTGTTTTGTATACTTCAAATGACCAGCTCTTACAACTAAATCATCAATATCAATTGGAGATACATCTTCAAATTTTGAACTTATAATAATACTTGTCATACCTATCAAGTGCAAATCTTCTTTACTTATCTTATTAGATAGCTCATAGTTTTAAATAAAGTATTTATCCATTATTTATACAGATAGCATAAATGTCTTAGGAGAAACAACTTTAAGCACTCTTAACACTTATAGCATCCAATTAACCATTTTTTAACGATAATGCAAAGATATTTCATGGAAATCAAAAGCTTAAACTAGCAAATGGTATTATTATCTGAGTTATGCATTTTATTGAACTACTTTTTAATCAATTAATCTTTCTTCTCTATCTGATTTCATCTATTTATAGAGTTTCCCTCGTCTATCTTGATTCGTAATTTACTGTTCAATCATGCATTCAGTATTTCTTTCTTTTGTTTTAGTTTAAATGTATGAGTCTATTTTTTGGGATTTAAACTGAAGTTTAATTTAGCATTTTTTGTGTTATTCATAGCTCTTCCTAGACATTAAGAGCTTTTAAATCTATGGAGACTTCAAAATTTTATCACCCTCATCAATGTTCTTATTATTATAGATATTTTCTGTTACCAACTGTGCTTATTAAATGCCCAAGGGTATAATCTTCATATTTTAAGTTTTATTCTCAACTAAAGTTGACTCACCTAGTGCATTTAGCTGAGATCCAACATTGCCCAAATAAATTTATATTTTGTCGCCTTTATTATACTAATAATCCTCAAGTATTATTGCTAAGTGTAGTTTAGTCTCCATATTAAAACCGCTTTGTTATTTTTATGTTGCTTCATTTCCTACATTTAATGGGATGATGAAATCTCTTATAGTTGGATTGGCGAAATCAACATAAAATTTTTAATTTAGTTATTCTGTGTTGTTTAGAAGCATAAGTTTGTTAGTGTGAATGTTAATTTAATTACTTATTTAAATATATTTTGCTTCATTAAGAAATACGACTATAATTACTATACTTTTTGCTAATTTCTCTTAACTGAATTAAGTTAAATATATTTTAAAAAATATTGAGATTAATTCCAAACAAATTTGATCTCAAGTATTAATTTCAACCTTATTAGAATAAATTATTTGTATTTTCGCTTACACAAATCTTAGGAAATAATAACTTTTGGGGTTTTGGGGTTTTGGGGTTTTGGGG